CAGTATGATCATTCCAAAATTTTAAAATCCTGCACTACACAACTATTACATTTTTGAGGAGAAAAAAACAGGGTCAGTAAAAAATCTTCAGAAGCTCAAAAAGTTAAAAAGTGTGATGTAATAGCAAGATAAAAGAAACCAAATGTGTACAATCAGGAGAAACAATGGCTAGAGAATGATGAAAGCCTTTTCACAGAGGAAGGTAACATGCTATACTCTGGTCACCAAAAACACTGTAGTGGAATCTTCTCAATAACATTTAACATAGATATGAGGATAAATATTCCAACATTAGAAATTATTAAGCATTGAAAAAACTTGGATGAGAATGGATAATGCAAGTTTGTAGAATCTGTTTAATAAGGCTTTTAAGGATAATATATCATCTTTCCACTTATAACTTAACTTTACTGGGGGCTTTCCAATAAAGTTTAAGGATTGCATTCTGGACCCAAGATTACCTACATCTGAAGTCTACACAGGTAGCTGTTTGACTTTAGACAACATTCTAAGCTTCAGTTACCTGATCTATAAAACAGGAATAAAAATGACAATACCACATTGGGTTGGTGCGAGGCTTAAACAATGAGGCAAAAGACCTATTGCCAGTGTCTGATACGCAATATGCTAAAACATGTTAACTATTATTATTACATGGCTACTAGGAGCAACTTACATTTTTACCTCACTTTACATAATACATTTCTAAAATAATTTGTATAAATGGAAACTCAGATTCTCCCTGACTTATAGTACAATTTTACATTCTTTCTTTATAACTGTGATCTAACTGGAAGGACTTCTCACTTGTATGGTGTTTCTCCACATTTTTCATCACCACAGAACCATTCATCCATTCATTGGTAATATGCAATTTAAATACTTTAGTCCATTTAATGGACGAGAGTAATATTTAAATTAAAATAGAAACATTGCCATAAAGTTTTAAAATACTCTTACAATTATGATGTTTAAATTGCATATCCAAAGTGGGACACCATAACATGCAATGTCTCAAGGTTCAGTAACTTAACATTTACTGATCATGAAGTAGGCAGGTCCCCTTAAAATCCATGACCCCCATACATTCTTATTATGGAATAATTTTAAAAGAATATGTTATGTAAGAACTAATTAAAAGTGAATTGGGCCAGGCACAGTGGCTCAGACCTATAATCTGAGCACTTTGGGAGGCTCAAGCAGGTGGATCACCTGAGGTCAGGAGTTTGAGATCAGCCTGGCCAACATGGCTAAAACCCCATCTCTATCGAAAAGTACAAAAATTAGCTAAGTGTGGTGGCGTATGCTTGTAGTCCCAGCTACTGGGGAGGGTGAGATGAAGGAATCACTTGAACCCAGGAAGCAGAGATTGCAGTGAGTTGAGATCGGGCCACTGCACTCCAGCTTAGGCGACAGTGAGACCCTGTCAATAAATAAACAAACAAAAAAATGAATTGCTCATGGTTAATACAATGTTATAGTTTCATAAAAAGAAGTCTTCTCTGGGTGGGTAGGGGGTAGGTCAGTGTATGCATGTGTGTGTATACGTACATATGTGTAGTCAATGCACTCTAATGAACAGTAATAATTTGAACTGATAACAAAGAGATGTTTGTTGCAGTTTTATTCACAATAGTAAAACACTTGAATAACATATATAACACTAGAAAAATAATTGTGACTGTCTAAAATAGTTAAATGTTATGATTTTTAAAAATATAATGTTAAAGTAAAAAATCGTGTGCTCACAGACATGTTAACATGCATTTTTAAAACTGAAATACTCAAAATGTTCACAGTATTTACCTCTGGGAGATGGAATTATAAAAGACTTTGTGTTTTTTTTTTTTTTTTAGTAACTATATACAGCTACCAAAATAATTGTAATGTCTACTAACTGTAAAAAAATTTATAAAGAATAAATAAAAAAAATATATTTTCAAATAGAGTCTAGTTGAGGATACTAATGAAAACTTTATGAACAACTATAAGCATCTAAACCAACTTCAAAACTAAAATATAACTGCAGGAATTACAATTTCAAAGTGAGTATCATCTTAAGTATCAGTGAAACCCCCAACTCCCATGCTACCCAAGGTAATATCTGAGAAACAAAAATAAAAGAAAAATGAAATTCAATCTAGAGAAAAAAATTACAAAAAATAGACTTAACCTAAGGAAAAGCAAACCAATTATTCAAGGTAGCACATCTCAGTTTGTTGTCTTCTATTTTTTTTTTCTGCCTCGATACTATTCACAAACACAACATACCCCTATCATTTACATCTTTCATTTTCTATAATGATTCTTGAAAGGGATAAACATAATCCTAGAAGAAACGTGTGTAAAGTTTCAAAATGTACCCCAGATCACAATTTAGGTTATGGTAAGTTCTCCAAATAGGGGCATATAAGTTCTACTTCCCAAATTTAGTAAAGGTATACACTAAAGAATTTATGGTTTGAACAAGAGTTCACTTGGAAAAGCTATGAGAAATTAATTTGTCTCTTTGATATTTTATCTTCTTAGAAAAGTATTACTAGTGTGACACCATCAAGAAGAGCTTTTTTTTTTTTTTTTTTGAGACAGAGTCTCAAAGTCTGTCACCAGGCACCAGACTGGAGTGCAGTGGCGCAATCTCGGCTCACTGCAACCTCCGCCTCCTGGGTTCAAGCAATTCAAGGAGAGCTTTCTTTATCCTTAGTCTTGGAACTGGCCCCCAGTTATGTTCCCATACTTCCTTCTACTACTATTATAACATACATCATTCTTACTTCTACCATTTAATGTCTGCTAGCAACTAATTTTAAACTGTAAGAGTTGTAAAATGAAGTAAAATGGTATATATGCAGATAACTGGGTGGGAAAGCTTTCAGGCACTGGAAGAAAGTGTACCTTGAAAGGTTAAATAAATGTTCAAGGAACAAAAACATGGTTTGTGGTGCTGAAGTAGAATGAATAAAAAGAGAAGGCAAAGATGAGATCAGAGAGATAATTTAGAACCAGAACATGTAGGGTCCCACAGGTTGTAGTAAGAACTTAGGTTTTTTATTTTTAATGGTCTGGGAAACCAGTGGAGGGACTTGAAGAGAGGAGTGATCTGATTTGACTCACAAAGTTTTGGCCATTTATATATCCTGGCACCTATTTTTGGAACATGCAAAAGGCTTAAGATCAAACCAAAGAAACGCAAGTTACTACAGTAATCCAGGTAATACATGATAGTGGCCTGGAGAGAATGGTGAAACAAGGGCAATGGGAAGTAGTCGAATTCTGAACCTGTACTGAAAACATAACAGGCAATAGCTTTGTTCTGAACACATTCCAAGTGAGATGCCCATTAGGCATGCAAGGGAAGAGACATTAAGTCAAAAATTAGATATACTCTTTCCTAGAATACACTGAAGCGATCCAAGGTAGATAAACAAATTTGAGAATCATCGGCCTATAGACACTGGTAGAACATCCAAATCCAAAAATCTAAAATGCTCCAAAATCCAAAACATTTGTGAGCACCAGTATGATGTTCAAAGGAAATGCTCATTGGAGCATTTCAGATTTCAAATTTTCAGATTTGGGATGCTCAGCCAGTAAACGTAATGCAAATATTCCAAAATCCCAAAAACTCAAAATGTAAAGTATTTCTGGTTTCAGGTTCCAAGCATTTTAGATAAGGGATATTCAACCTGTAGAATAATTCTGAAAGTCAAGGAGAGATCCTAAGACTGAGGCCTGGGACATTTTAACATTTATAGGACATGGAGACTGGGTAGGACCAGAAAGAAACTAAAAAGAGATAGTCAGAAACTGAAGGAAGAAAACCACACAATTATAGTACACTGGAAGCCAAGAGGGGGAAAAAAATATTTCAAAAAACAGAAACTTATCAAGGGGGGAAAAAGAGAAAACAATTAAAATAATTAATAAGGTATAGTGTTACAAATCCTTTTAGCAATGGAGCCTGGTTTAGAAACAAAAAACACAGTGGGCAATCCCACCCGTAAAACAAAAAGGTGGCACTGCTGTAGCTGAAGTGGACAGAATAGACTGTATCTTCCTGCTTGCTGTTATCTAGGGAAAACACAAAGGGAACACAAAATACACTGAAAACCACTGTTACAAAGCATCATTTAAAAATATGTGTTTAAGTTTTAAGGTAATTTATATCATGTTAATTATAGACATTAGATTTTCAGTGGTTTTTTTTTTTAGAACAAGAGTAAGATCAAAAGGAAAAATCCAATAATTTTAGAGAAATAATATGAACTGCATTATTTAACCTCTCTAAGCCTCACTCACCTCAACTATTAATATTAAATAATTCTATATAAATTATGTATGTAAACAATTTAGCACTCTACACAAAACATATGAAAAACTCAATAAAGGTATTTTTTTAATTACTAGATAAAATTATTGCTGCTGAGTCAGTCAGCACACCCACATACTTGGGTAAACCTTCTTGAAGGGTTCCTAAAACAACTGTAAAGTAAAAGACTACTGAACGGAAACACAAAATAGAGAAAAATATTGATCCTAAAGACCTCCTCAGTAATCCTCTTTGTGTTTGTGAAGATTTGCCAAAAAAAAGTACAAATTTTATAATGAAAGTCTGCCTTAAGTCATAAACTAGAATCATACTTAACAAAATAATTTCTTGTAACAGCAGGCTGAGGAATTCCATTCTCCAATTCCTTTCCCATTTTGAAACTATACTCTTAGTATATTTCACAGTAGCTATCTCAATACCACTTTATAAAAATAATACCCTACAGAGTAAATTTGTAACTATATTTTAAGTGAATCAGCTCTAAAAACCATAAAGAAAACTCCCAAATTTTAAATATTACCAAATTGAACCATCATTCACTTCTAATTTCAGGAAACATATGTATAAAAAAGTAATAATGAAATGCTTGAAATCTGAAAAAATCTAAATTCTATATGTTTATAAGTTCATAGACATACATTTGCATCTTAATTATAGAATAAAAGCATACTTTTTGATATGATATACTTTCAGCTGTGTGAACATCTTCCTGATTTCTCAGTGCTTTTTGTGTGTCCATATTGAGAACCTGAAGCTGCTGGATCAGCTCTGCTTGCTGAGCTGTATGTGTACTGTTCTGTTTGTAAAGATTCTGCAGCTCCTGCAATTCCTTCCTGTGCAAAGCAAGTAATAAACAGAGAAAAGTATAGATAAAGATCATCTCAGTTAAATAATCGTGTTCATCTAAGGTTACAAATTGGCATTCTATTTTTCATCTACCATTTGTACTACAGGCAAACTTATTTATAAAACAACTAAGTATTTAATATTTATCACATACACATAGAAAGTATTGATAGAACTACTATGATTTTCAAACCCAGATACATATTAATTTTTTTGTAGCTTGATAGTAATAAAAACCATGGATATACATAGTACCACTTTTTATTTAAATTAAGTAAATGCTTCAGTTTCAAGAATTAACAAGTAGTGAGGTTAACTATGGTTATTAGACAGTTTTGAACAAGGAAACATCAACCTCATATTATTATACAGAACTTTAAATATATTAAAAAGAGTCCCAAAGGGCATATTTAGGTTTTGAAACCAAAGTTCCTTAAAGCACAACTGCCAATTCTAGTTTGTAAGCTAAGGGTCCTGAGCTGGGATTCCTGTGACTCCTCTAATCCAGCTTGAAGGAACAGATGAGGTAAGAAAGTCAGAAAGTCACAAGGAAAATCCAGTCCTTCTAACCTACCCAGGATGAAACTGATAAACAGGAGAACAAGTGAACTGGTGATGGCAATGATCGCACTAACAGTCTAGGAGAACCGCACCTTAGAGATAGAGGTTTCCAGATTGCTGTGGTAGTGAGTCCTGTGTGATACAGATCATACAAAACTGAAAATTCTTTTTTATATTTAATTTGAACAGTAAAATATTTATAAACCTCTATTTCATCAAAATATACTATAAACAGTAGTCTCTTGGTATCTACAGGAGAATGGTTTCAAGATCCACTTTGAATATGAAAATTTATAGATGCTCAAGTTCCTTATATAAAATGATGTAGTTTTGCATTTAATCTGTGCACAACCTCCCAAATACTTTAAGTCATCTCTAGATTACTTATAATACCTAATACAAAGTACATGCTATGTAAATAATGTTATACTGTACTCTTCAGGGAAAATTAACAAGAAAAAAGTCTGTACACGTTCAGTACAGATGCAACCACTCATTTTATTCCCCTGATATTTTCAATCAGTGATTGGATGAATCCATGGATATGAAAGGATGATCGTACTTATATAATATTTTGGGCTGGGTGTGATGACTCACACCTGTAATCCCAGCACTCTAGGAGGCCGAGGAGGGCAGATCACAAGGTCAAGAGATGGAGACCATTCTGGCCAACATGGTAAATCCCATCTCTACTAAAAATACAAAAATTAGCTGGGTGTGGTAGCAGATGCCTGTAATCCCAGTTATTCATGAGGCTGATGCAGAAGAATCACTTGAACCCAGGAAGTGGAGGTTACAGTGAGCCAAGATTGCTCCACTACACTCCAGCCTGGCAACAGAGCAAGACTCCATCTCAAAAGAAAACAAAATTTAAAAAATCAAAAAATATATATTTGTATTTAAATATTTAACATATATAAGATATATATATATTTTTATATACAATCTTGAAGATTGTATTTCTTAATGGAACTTTTTCTTTACCTATAAGCTTTAACTACTCATTCATTCACATAAGATAAGTCTTAAAGAGAATAAAAGAAATATGCAGGCAGTTGTTGAAGATGGAAAAAAATTAGTATGGGAGCAAATAGTTCTGTTCTTTAGCAATTTAGAACATTAATATTCTCAAACCACAAGCCCTGCATCCATACAGATACATGGACACAAACCATTTTCCTGTAACTATTTAAAAAACTGAAACATGCAGAAAATAGCAGTCAAAAATGGAGAAGCAGAGAGGAGAAAGCCAATAATGGCACAATGCCTGCAGGAAATATAATACAAGAGGGGGGGAAAAGACCCTAGTAATAATGCATGATGATTATTGCCATTTTCATGAATAATACTAGCAAAAATTGTCAAAGGAAATACCCAACAGTACAGGAGAAAATTCTATCGTAGTTAAGACATGTAAGCCAGGATACCTAAAAAAAAAGTTGCATTTAGAAAGGAGACATGATTAAGATAAAACATATCTTTCACTACAGTGCAAAACAGCAAATTTATTTATATTTCAATGTTAGAAGACATCTGGTATTTCTTATTGTGAAGGCCTGAATCAGTAGCTGTTCTGTATTTAAGGATAATGTACAACAAAATATATGTATCTTTAGTCATAAGAAACACACTGAAGAGTAGGACGATGCTCAAACGTTTATAAGGCTTTGCAAATTAAAAATCAATCTAAAAAAAGCACATTTTTCTCTACCATCTCATGCCATTTTCTGGGCATGCTCTCAAGCGGAACTGAAACATAATCTTACACTATGTAGATACATTTATTTCTCTCTATCTCCCCACACCACCACAGAAAAGTAGAAGTGATGGTATGTACACCAAATCTGCAAATACAAACAGCACACGAGGCTCACGGAAAGCACTGAAATTGTCTAGACCTTTCCTCATTTGAAAACAAGTAAAGTAAAACAGGAGGGGCCAAGATGGCAGACTAGAAACAGTTGTGGTAGTAGGCCTGCACAAAGAAAAACCAAAACTACTAGTGAATTCTGCACTGTCAACTGAGGCATCCAAGTTCTCTCACTGGGACTGACTAGGCATTTGGCACAACCCACGGAGAGCGAGGAAAAGTAGGGTGGTGCCCAATCTCTTCTGGCTTATAGGGTTTCTGCTGAGAAGTTCCCTGTTAGTCTAATGGGTTTCCTTCTGTAGGTGACCTCACCTTTCTCTCTGGCTGCTGTTAACATTTTTTTTTCTTCATTTCAACCTTGAAGAATTTGCTGATTATATGTCTTAGGGTTGATTATCTCATGGAGCATCTTACTGGGGTTCTTTGGATTTCATTAATTAAATGTTGGCCTGTCTCGTTAGGTTGGGAAAGTTCTCCTAGATGATATCCTGAAGTACATTTTCCACCTTAGTTCTGTTCTTCCCATCTCTTTCAAGTATCCCATTCAGTCAAATGTTCGATCTTTTTAGATAATCCCATACGTCATGGAGGTTTTGTTTGCTTCTGTTTATTCTTCTTTATCTCTTATCTTGTCTGCCTATCTTACTTCAGTAAGATACTCTCTAAGCTCTGAAATTCTTTCCTCCACTTGATCATTTTGGCTACCGATACTTGTGGTTGCATTGGGGAGGTTCTCATATTGTCTTTTCAACTCCATTAGGTAATTTATGTTCCTTTCAAACTGGTTATTCTGGTTAACAGCTCCTGTAATGTTTTATCATGGTGCTTAGCTTCTTTGTATTGGGTTAGAACATGCTACTTTAGCTAAGCTAAGTTAGTTATTACCCACTTTCTGAGGCCTACTTCTATTAGTTCATCCATCTCAGCCTCCACCCAGTTCTGCACTCTTCCTGGAGAGATGTTACAATCATCTGGAGAAGAAGCATTCTGGCTTTTCGAGTTTTCAGTGTTTTTACCTTGATTCTTTCTCACCTTTGTGAGTTTATCTAGCTTTGATCTTTGAATTTGTGGGGAGCCTTTTGTTTTTTTTGGTTGTTTTTTTTTTTTTTTTTGAGATGGAGTTTCACTCTTGTTACCCAGGCTGGAGTGCAATGGCGTGATCTCAGCTCACTGCAACCTCCGCCTCCTCGGTTCAGGCACTTCTCCTGCCTCAGCCTCCTGAGTAGCTGGGATTACAGGCACACACCACCATGCCCAGCTAATTTTTTGTATTTTTAGTAGAGATGGGGTTTCACCATGTTGACCAGGATGGTCTCAATCTCTTGACCTCGTGATCCACCTGCCTCGGCCTCCCAAAGTGCTGTTTATCTTTTAACAGGCCCCTCTTCCTTAGGGTACGGCTGCTGTGGCTGGCTGGGGGTCACTCCAAACCCTATGCACTCGGGTCCCTTCTGCATCTGGAGGTGTCACCAATGGAATTGCAGAAGATAACAAAAAAGGACTGATATCAAAAAATGCCATCATAGCTTTAAATCCATAATGAGAGTAGTTATAAGCAAAATCAAAATTATACAGCATAAAATTGTTAGGTTCAAACCTGAGAAGTTCCTCTAGATATAGATCAAAGGGAATTAAGGAAAATCTGGGCTCACTGAAAGAGAAGATGCTGAGAACCAGCAATGCTTACCATCTCATGAGGGATGCTAAGTTGTGTAGAATATATTGTATTGCCGAAATATAAATCTAATAATCATTCAGTGATTGTTTTAGTCTAATGATTGTTTTAGTCCATTTTGGTTACTTAGAATCCCTAAAACTGGGTAATTTATAAAGAAAAAGGAATTTATTTCTTAAAGTTACTCTTCTTTTTGAAAGAGAAAAAAAAGGAAGAAGAAACAAAGAGAGAAAAAAAGAAAAAAAATGAGAGAAAGAAAGAGGGAGAGAGAATAGAAATCTTGCTCTATTGTCCAGGCTAGAATGCAGTCTAAAAATGAGTATTAGAAACCTCTTTTATGCCAATAAATGTGCTTAACAATAGAGACAGGAAGGAATAAGGGAGGAAAATAACATACAAGCAGCCAACCAATATTTCATTTAAACCTGCGAAATGCTATGCAATTGCTGAGGAGTGATTTACTTCCAATTATGTGGTCACTTTTAGAATAGGTGTGATGTGATACTGAGAAAAATGTATATTTTGTGGATTTGGGGTGGAGAGTTCTGTAAATGTTTATTAAGTTTACTTGTTCCAGGTTTGTGTTCAAGTCATGGATATCCTTGTTAATTTTCTGTCTCATTGATCTGTCTAATATTGACAATGTAGTGTTAAAGTCTCCCACTATTATTGAGTGGGAGTCTAAATCTCTTTGTAAGTCATTAAGAACTTGCCTTATGTATCTGGGTGCTCCTGTATTAGGTGCATATATATTTAGGATCCTTAGCTCTTCTTGTTGCATTGATCCTTTTACCATTATGTAATGTCCTTCTTTGTCTCTTTTGGTCTTTGTCGGTTTAAAGTCTATTTTATCAGAGACGAGAATTGCAACTCCTTT